TTAATAATTTATATATTATATATTATATTATAATATTTCCCATTGCAAAAAATTTATAAAGTTTGCATTTCTTTCTGGATAAGTAAAAAATCATTTTAAATTATTGTGAAAAATGAATAAAGTAAAAAGAAGATTGTGAAATTAAATTATTTTATAAAAAAGAAATAATATATAGAAAGATAATATCGGCAGGTTAGGATAAGAATTTATTTAAAATGAAATTATGTAAACTTTCTATAAGAAATAGAACATGAAACTTTTAGTTTCAAAAGATTGTGCAAAGTCATATGAGATGAAATTTCAATTCCATAGATACAGTAAAATGGTCGATAGTCAGCAGTAACTTTAAAAGGTTAGATCTCACTTCAGAAATATTTGAGACCGCAAAAATAAAAAAAAAATGATTATAACGAATTTAAATGATAAGAATATTTCAATAATAAAAATAATTATATTATAATTTTTCATTTTAATTCAAAAGATAAAAATTAATAATTATTAAAAATAAAATATTAATTTACTACTAAAAATATTAAGATTATTGTATTGAAATAAAATAATACAATAATAAATATTTAGCTAAAATAAGATTAAAAAATAAATATACAAATATATATATGTAATATAAGTACTTTTATATAAATCATATAACGATAGAAAATTTAAAAAATTTTGTATAAAAAAAAATTAATTATTAATAACAAGATTTTAGGGAAAACAAAAAAAAAAATTATAGAAAACGATATTTGAAATTAATATTTAAAATTTAATAGTATACAAAAAATCATTATCAAATCTACATTATAAATCTATATTATTATAATTTACTTATAATATAGATTAAAAAAGTATTTGACAAGTATTTTAACTAAAAAAAAAAAAAATAAAATAAATATCGAAAGTCATATTAAAGAGATAAAAATATTATTTAAAGTTAAAAATTGAAGATATATTAGAATTAATTATTAGAATTATTAGATATATTAGAATTAATTAATTAATAGTTACAGTAATTTAAAAATATATAAGATGTTAATATATATGTGAGACAATTATGACAATAAATTCTAGAGAAAAAAACAAATATAAAAGTTAGTGTACAAAAATGTCGGTTAAAACTTATTTATTAAATTATAAGCAATTGAAATTTTCGTTAGATGAAGCGAGGTAGAAATAGAACGAAGCAATGCTGTGAAAGAAATAAAGCAATCTTACTTTATTTGTGTCTTATTTTATTCAACACAAAATTGAATAATTTATAATTTAATAAATAATCCTTAATCAATATTTCTTTTGATTTTATACCAATTTTTATATTTATTTTGATCTTTAGAATTGATTTTTTAAAAATATTCGATAAATAAATTATTATCCAATATTTTATGAAATATTTTAGAAATTAGTAGATCATTGTATTATTGGATATTTAAATGTGATTATTATTTAAAAAAAAGTAACTTTAAGAAAATAAATAAATTTTTAAATGAAATATATTATTTTACAATAAGTAAAATGCTTAAATAATTATATTCAATTATTTGTTATTTTTGCACTTCTGTTAAGACAAAAATAC